TTTTCGCTGTTTAACTTTCATTAAATCAAAGCGCAATTAAGAAACCTCGTGATGCGTCATCTTTCTGATTAGAAGCATGTTCCAATTCAGCAACTACAGCAGGATATCTTTAAAAAATTAATAAAAACGTATGGCTTTGCTTAAATGTTCATAAGTACGCATTACATATCTCATATATTACACATTATATATTTGTGTTATTTAACAATTAAGTAATGAGTGATCTAAGTTATCTCTTGGATGATAGAGATTAAACAGGTCATTATTTATATAAGCAATATTCTTGTTTTCTTTATAAACTGTGCGTTGAATTTCTGAATCATTCACAGTGAAATGAATCTGATTATGAAAAAGTTGAAAACAACTAGTTTTGGGATGGAATGATCCAATGTTACACTTCTTCACTGTTCATATTTTGTTTTATATATACTGTATCTATAACGGTTTTTATGCTGTTAAAAGTTCTTTCATTATTTTCTCAACCATTAGTCGTAGAAATATATCTGCAATCATTGATAATGCTTTAAATAAGGAGAACATTCAGATTATGGTATTTTTATAAACTTGGACGGAAATTTTGCCGAGTTATTGAGTTCAAATTTTCTATACACGCTATTTATCGACGTCTATGCAATGTAGCGATTTCTCAAAATTTGATTTATATGTGTTTAAGCGAATTTTCCCACATATTTTCGGTCATTAAGCAAATTAAAAAAAAATCTTCAAATTTTTCTGTTTGCATTATCGAAGAGCGGAACAAAATCTTTTAAATGAAACTTTTATAAAAACTGCAACTTAATTTCTGAATTTTTGACGACTTTTTGAAAATTAATCTTTTTTTTCTCAATTAATGGATGACTATGATTTTAAAATTGCAACATGTAAAAATGTATCGAATATAAAAATCTGAAATTTTCACAAACTGTCAAAGAAATAATTCCCTCTCTTCTAAAATCTACATTGTAAAGATATTAACTAGGCGATTTTTTGCATTTATTTTATTACGGTTTCAAGCAGAAGGGAAGAATCTATTCTTTCGGCCATTGCATCGCCTGTAGGCATGTTACTTTCAAGGATTCAATTACGTCACATGGTTCTTATTCCTTCTACAAATAACGTTTCATCTGCTATCTCAAATAATTTAAAGATTTATCGGTTTAAGGACTGATTAGCTTTTAAAATTATTTGTAAAAAATATCTACCGTGGCTTTTTAAATTGTTCCATTTCGTAAATTTATACATATTTTTCTCAGCATTTCTGTTTAAAACTTTATTTTCTTAATTTGATTTAGTAATATTATATTCTTTTTCGGGACTTTAACATCCAAAAATATATATTTTGTAAAGATTTATTCTTTTCTGGTACTTTAAAACTCTAACATCCAAAATTTATCAGTTATAAAAATCCGAAATTTAAATGTTATAAAATAAAATCTTTTTTCTTTTTTAGGCTAGTTTATATAAGCTTTCTTTTAAAAAAACTTTCTTTTAAAATCATTTTGTTTGTTGCTACTATTAAAACTTTGCATCAAACTATCAAAACTTTGCATGCTATCAAAACTTTGCTTTAATGTGTTAAAATAAAATTAACAGCGCTTTAAGCGAACTTAAAGAAGAAGCATTCTTAGCTTCAATTTCTTATTATGAACATATAAGTGATCCTTATATCGCTAGAAACTGATATAAAAGTAAATATCAACTCTTTTAGTTAAAATCTGTTCTTACTGCATGAGTAATAGTAGATTTCCGAATCAAAAGTTACGTTCGTTATGCTGAAGATCACCTTTCAGAAAGAAAGGTTTTCTTTAATAATGGATTGAAAAGAGGAAACTTTATTACTTATTCAATTTTTTCTGTGGTATGGTTCCAAATAATGTTTCCTGCATCATTTAAGATTATAATTTAAGTCCTCATTTAGCCACGTGCTAATCATCAATACTAAACAGAAATAAAACTAAAAAATCGAATTCAGGGACATGAGTCTCTTCAGCGTCAGATACTACTATAGTTTCCACAGAAGAGGAAAAAAAAAAGACCTATTTTTAGAACAAAAGATTATCTAGTCCTCAGTAACTTTTCACTGGATCAACATCATATCAACGCAGATCTCTATTTTACAAAAGCTACCATTTGGGGGGGGGCACGAAATCAAAAATAATTTTTTCCTTGAAGAGGAGAGACCCACATCTTATTGCCTTTTAAATTGACAGAGTTATTCAAAATTTACGCCAATAAGGTTGCAATTTTTTGCTTAATTTTAAATTTTAATTTACATGTTTCTCTTTCAACTAGCCGATACTTTATTTTTACTGGATAATTTATTATTTGTATTAGAGATATGTACGTTATTAGTGAGAAGGCAGTACCACGGATGCTCGTGGGAACTTAGCAGACATAGTTTTACTAGTGAATTCGCGTTATAACGAAATTCTGATGTCTGATATTGAATATGTATGTAAATTCGATTAAGTATCAAAGCTGCCTGTAACATACAATTATGCTTCCTCCCATGACATGAATGTAAGCAGGTGACTTAGCAGTTTTTAAGGCATTTTAGTTATCTTCAAAACGCACAAAACTGCTATATTTTTTACATGTATTTTCGGGATTACAGTTTTAAATGTCAGATATCATTGGTGGTATCATGCGGTGATAACTATGTTTCATAATGGTAATTTTTAAAACTGATTTAAAGAATATTAATTCATTAACCTATGTTGCTGTTTATTTATCACAGTGTTATTAAATCACAGTCCATTTTAGAACCATCTACAAATTAACAGCCTGAAAAATGTATAGCAACTTTCTATACCATCATATTTTTTTCTTGAAGGAACGTTACCCGAAGGTATTTTAAATAATAGCTTTAGATGCATAGATTTCCGATATAATTTGAAAAGAATAGAAAAGTTTAGATTAGAATATCCATTTCCTGTAAGATCAATATGGCAAAGGTCAAATGGCATTTCCGGTAGATTCTAAGTTAAAAGATATACCATCCGTTATCAAACTCCATATTCTTTTATTTTATGAGAATTTTCATTGTGCCTGTTTAGAAAAAAGAAAATGAACATCAGTATCTAGTAATTGACTTTTCAATTCCTGCATAACACAATGCGGTTAGACATCAACCAATCGCAATCTCCAAATCACTATCGTTTTCGAAATTGGAACTAACGTAACCAGTTAAAAATAAAATGAAGCAGCTGTGGGAATGATATGACAATTGATGTGGGATGTAAGGCTGAAGCACACGATTCTGTGTCTGCATTTCTTTCGACCGAAAAATAAAAACCTGCCATTATTGTATTATGCAATGCATGAAAAGCATTCAAAGCTTTAGGAATGTCAAAATGCTTTTGTTCTGACCGCCAAGAAATGTGAAGAAATATGTTTCCTTTATTTTGATTTCGTTATTAATTGTGTTTATTATCCAAGAGTTGCTCATTCAGTAAGAAACAATTTACAGACATTTTACACATAATTCTCTCAAAAAGTTAATTTTAAGTATTAAAGTCAACATCGCATCTACAAATTATATTATATCAGGTTTAATTAAAACTTTTTTCAAAAGTTGAAAATCATAAGAATTTTTACAAGTTTGTTTTGTATAATTTTGAGAGCAGCATCTTTATCTGAGACAGCAGCATCAGATCTTTATCTAGTCCTCTTTGCAAAAGTTTGGCCCGAAAGCTACGAGTCTCTCATTTATACCGTGAATACAAGATAACTTTCTTTAAAAACGTGCTCTACAAAGGAAAATGTCTCTTTAGGCTTTCGTGTGTTTTGCCATAATCCCAGTAATTCAATTACCTTGTAAATTTTCTCAAAAATGCCCTAAATCTGATATCTATCTCTGAAATCTTGGCGTGCTGAAGATATCCAAGAATCATTTTTTTTTCTTTTCTGAAGGGGAAAAGATAGTTGCGATATGAAACCCATGATTCTTCGAACTAATTTATTGCACAACTTCTTATTAGTTCTTAAAGTTGTGAATGAAAGGCAAATGAAAATGCTCAGAAACGAAATACATAAATTAAACTACCGAGTCTAAAATCTGAATATATGGTACAGATGATATTATAATATTAAACTAGCAGAAAGAATGATGTAAAATTACATCATATTTGTGATCGTGTTTTTATTATAGTTACAGGAAACATTGTCTGTCTGTTCAATCAGAAAAACAGAGGGAAAATTGCAGTGCAATGAATGCAGTTTCAGCATTCAGATTCTAAAACTTAAAGGGTATCTTGTATTTCCGTATTTGCGCAGAATTACCACATAAAGTACATTTTTAAGAATGATTTAGCTTTAAGGTCTAGAGGGATTAATAGTAGGTATTTGCAAGAATTTCAAAAAAGATTTGGATAACTGGATGTAAATTAAATTTTCTTTTACACGAGCACGTTTGCTGAGTATTAATCTGTTGACTATAAAACCGAATGTTATTGAATGTAGTCAAAGTCAATCAAGACTTTTATAAGTCCGTTCACACTAGGGATCTCTGAGCTGACAGAGATATCTAGCACTACCGATATAGCTGTTTTGGTATTGGAAAAATCAGTCTTTTACAGTTGAAAAATCTGAACTTTACATATAATGGAGATAATCGACGCAGGAACAGACTTTTTTCCCGTTAGCTCAGTTAAATACTAGTATGAGCGGCCGTTTTAGAGGCCGTAAACACATATAAAACTTTTGGTGCTCCCATGTACATTTTGCCTTATTTTTTATTTTCATTTTCTCACTTGCTACTTTTCCTTCATTTCTTCTCTCTCAGTTCTGGTTTATCAGTCTCGATTAGCTGCAGCACACATTTTATGTTAAAACCAGCAAAAGACAAAATTTATAATGATCCTTGAATTTCTAAGCACCTTTCTATAGTACTTCCCCTTCCTTGATGCTCTGAACCCGTGCTTCGTTTGTTTAACGGCAATACAAGCTCTGAATTTAGTTTATTTGTTTTGACTAATCCATCATTTTTCTTAATCTTTTAGGTTTGATGTAATTTGCTGTCTCTTCAAAGCTTAAATGTTATCTCCGCATCATTAGTATGAACAATTTTCATCTGTGCTAAGGAACCAAGAGGCCTGTTCTCTTAACACGTATTATGGTGAGTATAACCAACCAGTTTTTTATATGGTACTATATAAAGGAAATGAGAAGCTAATAACGACGAGCCATTTCAAAACTAATGATAAACTAATCCTTTTCACGTGTTGAAACGAGTGCTAGCCTGAAGTTATGTAAATAAATTAAGATGCAATCTAATTAACTTGTTCATTTTTACTCTGAGTCATCATGACACTATGAAATTAAAACGGAGACAAACTCTTAAAAACAACAACTTCTTTAAGTTGAAAAAAACCTAGAGAGATCTTAAAGAAGGAAATGAAAAATTAAAAGAGATTTAGTTATGCCAGAATCAAGCAAACAGAAAATTATTACAGTTTTATTTCTTAAGTTATAAACTATTTTATACGCTTGTTCCCGTCACTGCTACTTACCTATATATATCTTCTGATTTTTTTAAATCTTATATTTGAACTAAATATATTGAATCTAGAGAAAAAAATCAAAACAACTCTGATAATAAAGTCGATTTGATTTCATAACCAAGTGTAATATATTCATTGTACTTTCAGCTACATTCGAATTATTTTCTCTCTATTTATCTTTAACTAAACTATTGCTTAATAAAGTACATTTTTCCACGTTCTTCTACTTCATTTTTGAATCCAAAATGCGCTACGTTTTAATGCAATGAAAAATTCGATTAAATTCAGCTCTTGTTAATAAATTTAATTCTCATGATAAATGATTTCATTAAATTTCAGTTTCTAATGCTTAATATGATACATGTCGATGTTTGGTGATAAAAAGATAGTATATGACCGAATACTGATAAAAAATTTTAGATTACGTTTGGCAAAACCTCTTAACACTCAGATATGTTATTTAAGCTATAATCTATTACAATCAAAATAGCGAGAATAAAAATAAGAAGCCTTAAGCTGTTTTAATGCACATTAGATCAGCAGTAAACATATGACGCATTAGATAAAATTACTTTCGTGAATTCCAAACCAAAAAAATCTAGTAAAACAAGCGCTAGACGACGCAGAGAAACATTAACGAAATAATGATGGCAACAGCGTTTTCATTAATGAAAGCTGGGTGGAGTTGCGTTGAAAAAATTCATTTCATTTATTTTTTAATATAGGGTTAACATCTCGTTCTCATAAAATTACTTCTTTATGTGTGATTGCTAATGATGATGAAGCAAAATCAAAAGAATATACAAAAGAATACAAAGGAATTTTGGAAAATATTTCTTTTCTGATATAAATAAAGGCAAAAAATGTCTTGGATAATAAAGGTGGAATAAGCACAATTCTTTAGATGCCAAAAGGTTTAATTGCATCTACACAAAAATGCGATCTTTTTAAGATCAAAGAAGAAAGTTTCTTAGAGAAACCAAAGAAAGAATCCAAGTTCGGAAGCTATAAAACCAAATTTCATCTGCAATTAAAAATGATTACATTTTAAAAACACTAGCAATTGAAAATTTAATCAATGCGTTCAGATTTTATCTGTTTCTTTTCAGTTCTTTGAAGTTAAAAAGGGTCGTAATTCTTTTCCGTTTAAGAATTTTAAACTTTTACAAAGTAATTTTAAATTTGTAAATTTTATCGAAAAATTTGCAAGAACAAAATGAAGGCACGCCAAGAAGGTGGGAGAAATACTTTATATACTGCCTCTTTTAAGGGGCGACTGGGGTTTTTAGGGGACCCAATCGTCAAATCCCGGGTGGGGAGAAATCATCATCTACCACCCTTTTAGTTCGGGCGCCACTGTAGAGACATTAGATATTTTGGAAGCAGGAAAGATGAAAAATTAACAAAGACTTCGCCGGGAATCGAACCGCAGACCTCTGGAACACAGGCTCAGTGTGCAGACCGCAACACCACGAAGACACGCCAAGAAGGTGGGAGAAATACTTTATATACTGCCCCTTTTAAGGGGCGACTGGGGTTTTTAGGGGACCCAATCGTCAAATCCCGGGTGGGGAGAAATCATCATCTACCACCCTTTTAGTTCGGGCGCCACTGTAGAGACATTAGATATTTTGGAAGCAGGAAAGATGAAAAATTAACAGACTTCTCCGGGAATCGAACCGCGGACCTCTGGAACACCAGCTCAGTGTGCAGACCGCAACACCACGAAGGCACGCCAAGAAGGTGGGAGAAATAACTTATACAGTTTCTGCTGTCATTCAAAAAGATCAACGTATAAAAGTAAATAAGTAATGAAATAGATAAAAAGAAAAGTAAAATTGTGATCAGAAAATTTAGTTTTCAGTCTAACATCTCTAAGAATTTGTCGTTAAGTTGCAAAAAAGTAAGAAAAACATATGGCATTTCTTGAAAGTATAAGAATCACGAAAAAATTCTAATTAGAAATTCCAATTGATTTTAATTTAACTTGCAAAATAATTTGAAGCTCAACAATTACAATTATTCTAATAATTGATAATTAATCCATTAGGAATTCAAGGTAAAAAACAACGAACCGTATATTTAAAATAAGCTGTTTAAAATAGCCTTACTGAACATTTAATGAATTTACTGAAACAATAAATACCCAAAATGAGGTTTATTTCGAAGTGCTTCATAAGTAATAAAAATATAAATGAAAATAGAAAATTTAACATTTCAACACAGCATTTCTTTAACATTTCAGCAAAATTGCCCCGGAATCTGGAATATATTCGAATTTCTGTTAGTCAACTTCTTCTTTAATAGGCAGTGTCTTAATCTACGGACCATGAAAGTAGGACGCCTATCCTCACGTAGGGGGTCCGCTAACGGGAGCTTCGATTGTATTTGCACTTTATATAACATTTTAATGTTATTATCTGTATATGAGTGGATATTTTTATCGATCACTATAAAATAAAAAACCTACTAATTCTGTACCAGAATAAGCATCTGTATAAAATTAAAGTAATAACATAAATGTTCATTAGTTATCAGTTGGCCATATCGTAAATATAATAATTTCAAATGACTGAATTTCAAAGCACTGAGTGGTTAAGACCACTCAGTGTTGAGAGTTCTACCAGTGTTCGATACCAGGGCTGACTCCATCATTGGTTTTCATAGTTTTCCCCATGCGTAAAATAACGCAAGAAAGTTTCTTTTAACACGTTCTCCACAAAGGCATCCCCTTTAAACAGATAAGATGAAAAAATACGGTTAAAAGATTTAAAAATGGAAAAAAAAAAGTCTGAATTTTTTAAGCCCAAAGGGCCTTTTTTTAACGTTTTGTGTGTTACCTTTATTTATTAAATATCATGTTCATTGCACTTAAACCACATAAAATTTAATTCAGCAGCAATATCCGAAAATATTTAAAAACAGCATATATTTAGAATTTTCGATAGACAGTCTCGCGCGCTGGAGATAAGAATGCTATTTTCCGTACATTGTTGCCATTGCTCGCTTTGAAATCGTTTAGTTTGTTAATCAAAAATTCGTTAAAGGTTTACAAAATATGAAATAGAAAATAAAACAAATTCGAAATTCGGGCGTCCAGGTGCCTATATTCGGGTGGAGGATTACGTTATTCAAAATTTGACGGCTCTAGGTACCGTCTTTTTTGCACACTGCTAGAGGCATATATACATTCATGCAGATCTTTCATTATTTAATTTCTTTAAAATACAGGATGATAATATTTGGTGACAACACTTTGAAAAGTGATTCAGACTTTCATGGTGATTCAACGCAAAATGCCGTTTGGAAACTAACAGCCCTGCTGGGCTACCCTCTCCCCCTTTTGTGTTAAAATTTGATTTTCGACAAATAACGAAACCTAACTTTTAATATGGTGGAAATAGGTCTGTCGGGTTTCTATACTTGTAATAGTGTAGAATACTTATAGCATTATATAAGTATAGTACTTATAACAGTATAGAAATATAAGTTGTATGACTCCCGTACGACAAAAATTAACCGGGATATTTAATTTCAAAATTTGCAATTTTTGATAATCATTTTCAACGTCGGGGAAGTAGGTTTAAATGAAACACAGCAAAAATTGTGTATATTTAAATAGGCCGTACTAGAAAGTAATGTGGTTTCCAAATCAGATATTTTGATATATGTAGTGCTAATTTGTGAGCCTGCATGGAGTATTGAAGCAGTAATTTATGAATGACTCACTTAACACAAACTTCTGAGCTGTAATTGTGAGAAGTAAAATGTATTTCATTAATATTTATTAAATTATATTCATTAATAAATTTGTGCAAATGCTGCCCAAAGAAAATATATGCCTTGATTGCAATGATTACTAAGAATACCTAATACAAACTGTGCATCTCTCTCTATTTGAAAGGTGAAATGGTACTTAAGTTTTCTATACTGAGAATAAAGTAACTTTTGAATGAGAATGTGAGAAAAAGTAATCTAGAACATATAGTTCTAGTTTACTATATATTGTTCATCAGTTTAATGATTATATGTTGTTTTTATTTCTCAAGAATATTCTGTGACTGTTCTATTTAATTTCCTGAGAATATTTAAATCTTTTCCAGACGAAAGTGTATTTTATTCAAAAAAAAAAAAAAAAAAAAAAAAAAAAAAGGAAAACTGCTAAGAATAAATGCGAATTTGTGCTATATTTGCATTTATCATCCATGCGTCTGGAAAGGATTGCCATTTATGAAATATGGATGCTTATAGCTCGAATACATTTGTGTTCACTGCTGGGATTTCTGTAGGGTATTATAGAACTTGTAATTATGAACTATTAAACTTGTAACACTGTTATAATTTTAACATGTATTTGGCATTTTATAGCATAAGCACATTGTAATTATTATTAAATTTATTACGTTCATTAGACTAAAATGCCAGACTACTTTACATTAACACTCGTGAAAAAGGGAGGAAAGGGTACTACTTTTTTAAATATACAAATACAGATTTTTGAGAATACATTTTATTACTACTTTTTAGTGATATGCAATGTCTTCTGTGAGTAATTTACAAATTAACAATTTTTATGTTTAATTAGTTTTACGAATATCGTATCTTAAGAAGCGTT